CCCTTACAAAAGAATTTAATGACTTTTGTGTCTTAGTTAAATTGTCATAGACATCCTCATGTTACAAGAATTTAATTTCACATTTGGTGTCAAATTTTCTTTCCACCAATTAAAAAAAAAATAAAAAAATTCTAGATTACTTGTGGGCCCCCACTTTAGTTAAGAATTACTATTTAATAATTATTTGTTGTGTTTTGCTAAATTTGAGGATTTTTTTTACCGATAGATCAACACAGATAAATTTATGTGTGAAAGTGAGTGATACTACCGTCAAAAATTGGTGACGGTAGTGCTCTCACCAAGTAGGATCGAACTTACTCCGATTTATGTTTCAATGATGCTATTACACCTCAATTATGCTTATTTACATATTTATATTCAAAGAAAATATTATGCACGTGTGATTAGTGTTGTTAAATTAGACGTGCCTGACTCGGCTCGTTAAGGCTCGAGATCAGCTAGAGTTTGGCTCGAGCTTGAGGCCTTAACGATTCGAGCTCGAGCTCATTTAAAATTCGTTTGGTTAACGACTCGAGGTCGGCTCGGCTTGATACGGCTCGGAAAATATAATTTTCTATAGTTCGGTTCATTAAAGCCCGAGATCAGCTTGAACTCAGCTCGTTAATAATAATCAAACCGAGATTGCTTTCTGACTCGTTTATTTAACAAGCCGAGCTCGGTCTCGAACTCGAGAAAGCTCCACTCGGCTCGTCTCGACTCGTAATGAGCAGTGATGATCGAACCGAGCTCGAGTTCGTTTTCTGACTCGTTTATTTAACGAGTCGAGCTCGAATTGGTAAGGGCTCAAGATCGGACTCGAGCTCGAGAAAGCTATGCTCGGTACGGTTCGACTTGTAATGAACAGCGATAATCGAACCGAGCTCGAGCTTGCTTTCTGACTCGTTTACTTAACGAGCCGATCTCAGCTAGCCCGAGCCCGAGATCGAGAAAGCTCGGTTTGACTCGGCTCGTTTTCAGACCTACGTGCGTGTGATGTGCATTTATTGCAATTTATATTCGAACATGAAAATTAATGGTTTACAAATTTCTTGGTGACTATATGCGGAAGGTAATTAAGGCTTTTGTACAGTATTTGGGTTGGTTATTTAAGGCCCAAGATATTTAAGTTGTTGGGCCTCATCTGTATCCTTGTTATCCATAAGTTGGTAAATCCCACAAGTTAAATGTGCAGTTCAATGACATTATTGCATTTCACTGAAATCTCTAAAGATAGACTTAGCCAAGTTGAAATCAACATGCAATATATAATTTGCACAAACATATATAAACTTTTAGACTTTTAGTTGTGATTTTATAACTAAATAAAGCATAGCATATCCACCAAATAGATTTCATGCTCAATTCTTGAGATTGTTCATCAACAACAACAATGCAGTACTCAAGAAGTAGCTAAAAAACTGAAAAAACACAACTAAGCCTTTACAGGGACTCCACAGTTTTCAATGATTCTCATCACAAAATTCGTCGATTATGGGAATATGAGTTTTCTCGCGTACGATACATGATTTACTGATAACACACACCCTCGCCACTTATAACCTGGCCTAAACAGAATACTGATTTTTTGGAACAAATAGTTTGAAACGCGGCATCTTTCTCCATCACCAGCACCATCCCAATCCCCATATTAAAAGTTCGTCTCATCTCCGCATCTTCTATTTTTCCAGCCTAAAATTTTCCCCGAAAAAGATTTAATATATATGTAACATTACATTTATTTTTTTCAAGGTCCGTTTAGGAAACAAAATTGAGGGATAACACAAAAATTACCTCTAAGGTATAGCATTTTCTTAAAATATGAATGTAACTTTAGAGATAAGTATTTCCTTTTTGTTTTGTGTGTGTGTGTGTGTATGAGGTTGTGTTTAGTAAGCATATAAGCTAGCTTATAACTTATTTGATTAGCTTATAAGCTTCCTCTATTCAAATAAGATTAGTTTGGTAAGACGACAGCTTTTTAAGCTTCCTTGAGTAGCTTTTCAAATAAGCTCATTGGATTTTTTATTTCCTAGCTAATTTTACCAAACACTTTTAAACACTTTTGTCATATAAGGTAATTTTTCAACCATAAGTTATAAGCTATGAGTTATAAGCTTGAAATTAACTAAAAAGTTATAAGCTAGCTTATCAGCTCGAGTTACCAAACATAGCTGTATGTTTGAGTGTAGTAAAACTCATAATGGGGGTAATTTGTGTAATTATCAAAAACAGAAGTTCATATAACAAATTCTGACCTTTTGGATCCATTTGAATAGTGGGGGCACGGTCCACGAGTTCTTGTATATGAGGGCTCCAAGGCCCTTTGGTAACACACGCGGTATATTATCCGTAAAACCACCGCCCGTGATGTGAGCAATCCCTTTCACGCCACCCTCGCTAATGATATCAAGAACCTGTTATGCCGAATGCCATTAGTTTAAAACAAAAACAAAAACAAACAAGTGTCAATTTCAGAAAAAACTCCAAGAAATACCTGCTCAACGTATATAGCCGTGGGTGCCATTAGAGCTTGGCCTAGGTTTACATTCGTACCGGGTAGATTTTCTTTCAAAGAGAGGCCACTTCGTTCTAGAACCCTGGATGATGAAAAAAAGAGAGTACATAAATAAGCAGATTACAGTTTCAAATAGGACTGCAAACGAGTCGAGCGGCTCACGAGCGCTCGAGATAATGCTCGACACGAGCTCGGTCAAACACGAGCTCGAGCAGTTCAATCGATCAAACGAGTCGAGCTTGTAAGCTCGACGAGCAGCTCGACTTTTTATTTACATAGATACCTCACATAGTTTAATTATCAATATTAGAACACCAAGGCCAAAATAATGTATTTATATTAAGAATAGTATGTTTATATTCATAACTTAGTTATTAAAATTTCGAGTCAAACTCAAGCCATGTAGAGCATTGACGATCTCGAGCATTATTATTTTTTTCATGAGTCGAGTCGAGTCGATCTCGAGCACTCTTATTTTTTTCGCGAGTCGAGTCGAGTAGCATTTTACATGGCTTGTCGAGCTCAAAACGTCTGATCTGCGCTCGATAAGGTCCATGTTCGACTTGACTCGACTCGTTTACAGCCCTAGTTTCAAACAAATGTCAGGTTTTATGAAACTTCAAATACTGAGATGTTAGAAGAGATGTTTTAACCTTCTGACAAGAGAAAACCCGTTTGAGTGGACCCCACTGGATGGAAGACCGATAAGGATATCCCCTACCCCTATGTCTTTTCCGTCGATGACTGAATCCTTTTCCACGATGCCGACAGCAAAACCGCTCAGATCATACTCGCCTTCCGCGTAAAAGTCGGGCATCTCTGCAGTCTGAAAGGTACACCGGCACACAAACATAAAGACATTTAAATCGGTTCCATGTGTGAAAATCCGCTCAAAAAAATGAAATGTCCTTAATGACATGGATTGTGTACACAGTTAATGCTGTAACAACTGAATGGAATGAGATGAAGTTTGTGAGCGCTTCTGATTCATCAAAAGAACGTGTGACCACAAAAAAAAAACACACTCTAAGGTGTGAAATTCTTGAAACTTCGAAGAAAGGCCTTGCCACTTACAGGATGATGTATTGTCCATAGTCCATACATTGTGATTATTTTATTTTTTTTTTCTGCACTTGCATTTTCAAATACAATTGTGTTTACAAGAGTACCTCTCCTCCTAGAAGTACACAATCAGATTGTTGGCAACCATCAACTATGCCCTTGATAACCTGCATTCGTATTTAACGAGATGAATGAACTTCCTATATGTTAAAAAATAAAAAATAAAACATTGGCTTTTATGATGAATTTAGTTAAAAAACGATGGACAAATACAAATCTATATACCTTTTCTGCAAGATCAACGTCTAGACGGCTCGTGGCAAAGTAATCAAGGAAAAACAGAGGCTTTGCCCCAGAAGTCACAATGTCATTAACGCTCATTGCAACCTGATAATAACACACACTGAGATTAATAAACTCAAGGCAACCTGATAACAAATATTTCAATTCCTACCTGTATTACTAATAAAAATATGTGGAGGTTATAATAGGATTCTCTTTTACGGTTTTAGTTACCAAATCAATGCCGATAGTATCGTGGATTCCAGTTTCAAAAGCAAGCTTAAGTTTGGTCCCAACTCCATCAGTACCAGCGACTAGGTAGGAATCTCCTGTGAAGCACCAAAAATATAATTCATTAACAAATAAGATGGGGAAGACCACCAAATGAAGCCAAAAAAATAAAATAAAACAGAGGAAGAACGAATTCTTGAAAAGGAACAAGAGAAAATAGAAACATTTAGAGTGTTGGCAATGTCATGTGGATTAAGACCAGATTGAGCATGCCAATGTTTTAAAAACGGAGTCTTAAAAGTTAAAAGAACACATCTAACAGATGAACAAGACACCTATTAGCAAGCTTGTATTCACAAATGAGAAACATGTGCAAAAAAGTTCCAAAAATTGGCCACCAAAACGCGATAAGTTTTCTTACATCATAAGTTATAACTTTGAAAAACCTCTGTTCAGTTAAGATCTTTAGAACAGCTAATTTGAGCTTGTGGCAAGTGATCCAACAAAAATGACAAATCAAAATCCAACCAATGCAGATCATGAATCAGACAAGACAACACAAAGTCAAGGTTACAAGTGTTCTTCCCCCACCACATACCGACATCAAAATGGCTCACAAAGTTTTGACAAATTAGAAACCACAATAAAGATTGCATCTTTCCGTGAAATTAATACCATACCACACGCAATAAGACAAGATCGAGGAGTGATAGTGAATGTAAGCCTAATACTCAAAGGCCAGTTCGTGAATGTAAGCCTAATACTCAAAGGCCAGTTCATCGAGCCCAACGACTTATACAACAGAAGCATATTGCCATATTTATCAGTTAACATTGTAAGTAAAATCAAACCATACCTAAAGGAAAGAGCCCTCCAAAACCTCCAATTCCAGGAGCCATTTTGGCAATCCTCCTAACAAGTTCTGAACCAGCATCAATGTCAACACCTGAATCTTTATACGTAAGTGCCTCGCCCTTGTCCTCCCCAGCCGTCTTCACATGGCCTTTAGTATTTCTTGAAGTCGAAAGTACGATACTTTTTGTCACTCCTTTCATGCAATTATTGGAAAAGAAAGGCAACAACCCTTTGGATAAACCACCCTTACGAATCTTGAGTGAATTCGTGTCGAACGAGTTCGTGATACATTGTGGCAATTCTGTATTCGCTCTGCAGGCCGTGTTCATTTTTTACCTCAAATGGTTATATATGCAAGCCCTTCAAACAAAAAGTTAATAGGTTGATGATGAGATGTTCATTGGTGTGCAGAAGATATAAATACGCTATGGAAGCACAAATATGGGGTGGAAAAGAGGCGAGCCGAGTCGAGTCGAGCTCGGCTCTTTAACTAAACGAGCAAGTATCGAGCTATAACTCAGCTCATTTGTCAATATTAACAAGTGGAGCTCGAGCTTTATGAGCCATTATAGAGAATTATATAAAAATCTTATCTTTTAGTCTTAATGAGCCGAGCAAGCAGAGCTCACAAGTAATAATTTAGTTTAACAGCTCTAAGCACAATAAAGAACAAGGCCGAGAAGTACAATAATGTAAATAAAACAGTTATGGGAGTAGGTTAATTTCAACTAGGAGTCCTTCAAGAGATGAGAAAAGAAAAGCGAACTGTTCAGTTCATGTAAAATAAATATTAGTTTAAAAAAAACCCAACAAATTCGTATGATTAGAGCATATGATATTCAAGAAATACCAGAGAATTATCGAGTTAGCACCGAGGGCGGTGGGCTGAGGACGACGGCGGCGGCGGAGTGACACGGCGGGGAAAGCGTACTGTGAGTCTGTTTTCCCTTTCCTTTCCCTCTTTATATCTTTTTATTTATTTTTATTTTTCTGATTTTAAATCGTTTGAGAAATTTTTCTTTTTATTTATAACTAGTACGACACCCGTATAAAATTTTTATTTATAGCTAGTACGAAACCCGTGTTCTACACGGGGTTTTTTAAAAAATAAAATTAAACATAAAATTATAGAAAAAACACATAATCATGTGTACTACATGTTTTTTTTTTTTTTTTTTTTTTTTTTTTTTTTTT